GTGATGGCTCCCTGCTCCACGGCCCCTCCAGGCAGACCGGGCCACAGGTTGTTCTTCATTTCTGCGCCCCCTCCCATCCTGCCGGGGCCAAACTCCCAGCACAGACCTTGAATGGCATTGAGTAGAGCCTGTCAGGCTGCTTGAGGAATGCAGGGCCCTCAGGCCTGTCCCCTCCTCTGGCTGAGCCATGAGGCTGTCAGGTCCTGCTCTACGGGAGCTACAGGCAGGGACTGAAGTGCATGGTCCCAGGTGAGAGGGCTGGGAACTCCCAGAGAAGGCGCAGGCCACGGAATGTCCTGGAAGGCTCCTGGGACTTGATATGGCTCTGGGGGTGTGGAGGGGCTTTGATGGACATGAGGGAGGAGGTGCGCACTGAGGAGGCTCCAGGAACTGTGGGCTTGGGCAGAGGGCCTGGGAGGGACGGGAGAGTGAAAGGCCGGAGGTGAGGTGGACTTTGTGGGTGAGGCTGGAACCCCAGGCTGGGGGGTGGGGACCTGAAGGGGTAGCGGGGGTGTCAGCTCTGACCGGTGCCCAAGAGGCACCTGGAATTTCTCAGTCTGATTTTAACTGGTCTGCTATGGGGCCTGCGACATTGGGATTCTTTTTACAGCCTCCCAGGTGATTCTAATGTGCAGGCAAGTGTGAGGCCCAGCTCTGGGCAGTTCACTGGCAGCATCAGAATCACCTGGAACAGACATTCAACGTGCTGGCGCACAGGCCCCCTGCGGACCTGTGGAATCCAAGTCTCCAGCCTGGGGTTTGGGCATCCCTGTTTTTGTCTTGTTTTGTTTTTAATATATTTTTAAAAATATATTATATTGATTTTTTTTACAGAGAGGAAGAGAGAGGGATAGAGAGTTAGAAACATTAATGAGAGAGAAACATTGATCAGCTGCCTCCTGCACACCTCCTACTGGTGATGTGCCTGCCACCGAGGTACATGCCCTTGACCAGAATCGAACCTGGGACCTTTCAGTCCACAGGCTGACGCTGGATCCACTGAGCCAAACCGGTTAGGGCTTGTTTTTAATATTTTTATTGATTTCAGAGAGGAAGGGAAAGGGAGAGATAGAAACATCAATGATGAGAGAGAATCATTGATCGGCCACCTCCTGCACGCCCCCTACTGGGGATCAAGCCCAGACCTCCTGGTTCATGGGTTGATGCTCACTCAACCATTGAGCCACACCGGCTGGCTGGCCACCCCTGTTTCTATAAGATCCTGAGGTGATTCTAACGGGCAGCCAGGTGGAGAGCCAGGGTGACGACGGAGCAGGCAGCCGGACCCCTTTCATCAAGACCCTGCAGTGGCTCTCCGAGGCCTGTGGGCTGCCTGCTTTTGAGTTGTGGCCTGAGCTCTCAGATCAGTATCTCAGAATGAAAAATAGCAAGGCTGACGTTGGTCCGCTTGGTCACGCCATCTCTGTCCCACACTCGCCCCACTGGCTTGGGCGAGGGCAGCGGCCTCACCACTTCAGGCTTGAGTCACAGGCTGGCTGCCTGTTGCAGGGGATGTGGGCACAGCATGTGACTCTCTGTGGGACAGAGAAGTGTTACAGGTTCCTGCTCCAAACCTCCCCCTCACCGCCTCCCCTCTGTGGGGAAGCGTGGATCCAAAACATGCCTTCAGCGATGTTGTAAGGTAAAGAGTGGGAAAGGAAAGTCGTAATTCACATGGTATCTTCCATCCATACCCACTGCGCCTGTTTCTCCCTGTTTGCTCTTCAGACTCAACACCCCCTGCTCTTCTAGCCACCCCCGCCCGCCCCACCGCAACAAAGACTTTTCTCTGCTTCCCCAGCCCTCAAGAATCTCCTGATGGTGCCAGTTTGCCTCTTCGCCCTGAAATTCCCAGTCCCTTACCCTGCACCACTGGCGCTCGCCTTACAAAAATGCTGTTCAGCCGGTGGGAATGGCCCAGTTGGTTGAGCATCATCCTGTGCACAGAAAGGCTGCCGGTTCGATTCCCGGTCAGGGCACATATCTGGGTTGCGGGTTCTAACCCCAGTTGAGCATGTACAGAAGGCAACAAATTAATGTTTCTCTCTCACATCAATGTTTCTGTTTCCTCTCTCTCTTTCTCTTTCTCTCTCTTCCTCTCTCCCTCTCCATCTCCCTCTCCCTACCTCCTCCCCCCACGCCTCTTTCTAAGCATGTCCTCCAGTGAGTATTAAAAAATTTTTTAAATGCATAAATAAGTGGAACAACAATTTGATGTTTCTCTCTCAAATGTTTTAAAATGCTAATTGTTTTGCAGTACTTGCTGGTGTGGGCTCTGCATTTTAAGCCAAAAAAAAGAAACCCTCTAGTAATGGAAACATATGAAAGAGACAGTGAGTGAAGCTGTAGTTACTGCATTTGCTGAATTTTTATTTGTATTTTTTAATATATTTTATTGATTTTCCACAGAGAGGAAGGGAGAGGGATAGAGAGCTAGAAACATCGATCAGCTGCCTCCTGCACACCACCCACTGGGGATGTGCCCGCAACCAAGGTACATGCCCCTGACTGGAATTGAACCTGGGACCCTTGAGTCCGCAGGCCAACGCTCTATCCACTGAGCCAAACCGGCCAGGGCTATCTGTATTATTTTTAAAAATTTTTATTGATTGACTTTAGAGAGAGAGGGAGGGTGGGGGGGAGAGAGAGAGAGAGAGAGAGAGAGATTCATTGAGAGAGAGGAACATTGTTTTGTTT